ATGATGATGATACATCATAATGATATACACATATGATGATGAGACATCATGATGATACATTATGATGATGAAGTCCAAAACAAAATAAAACTAATTAGCCATAGGTTATACTATTTACCGTTACATCATTGGTTGATTCACTCAAAGTTCATCGTTAAAGAYGTTTTTTTTGAAACAGCTCACAAAAAAGTTTCTCTACTTCATTTTTTAACCCCAAATTCTAAGTAAAATATAACCTTAGAAACTTTCCATTGTTATTAATAATAACAACACCTTTATGGGACAGGGTACACCATTTCCACATTGATAATGTACAGGTGGCTCTCATAATGTGTCTTTAAGGTAATTGTATAACATGTAACTTCTATGGCTAAAATAGACATGCATGTCCCTCTACCCATGACAGTAATCAAGCATTATATATAGTTACCTGTTTTAATACCATTGGCATGAAATGTACAACAAATTCATTTTGCCATTTTTTATCTTGACTGAGTGCTTTTCTTACTTCTGTCCTTTGTGAATAGCTATCTATTAATGCAGGAAAAATCCAAAATCAAGCTGCAAAACATGTTTACAACTACAYATATGTGATGTTACGATACAATTCAATATGTACAATACTGTACAATACAATTTTTATTATACAACATAACATGACAAGACATGACACAACACATTACCATATTAATTTTTACCATTTTTTTCAAATAAAACAGCTTTTTCAATGCTCCACATAATTCAGTAATAAAGCATGCTGCAGGAAGTGACATAAGCAAGAAAGGAGAGTCAAGAGAAGCATGAGCCATAGGCAAGTGCTTCTCAAACTTCTTGGGTGTTTTCACACTTCCTATATCTAAAAGCTTAATTATTACTGATTGGAGAATGGAAAAAGTTGATTTAATGAATTTATTATAATTATATCAGGAAGAAAAAATCTGTTGTCTTTTTTTTGCAAAGTTTGTTGCATATGTGCCTGGATAGTGTCAGCAACCACTCCCTGTTCACTGATAAAGGACAGCAATCAATCTATCACATATACTCTCTAAGCTATTTAAATAATCCCAGTCAACTACAATGCACTGTGCACCATAAGCAATGCAATGCAATTGAGCTATTTTCTCTACCAGGCAGTTTTGTAGGTGGCGTTTGGAAATCAATCCAGTTCCATTAGTCTTGTTAATAAAGACCCCTTGCAGCACTTTGGAATGCAGCTCAATCTGGGGGACAAAACAATAGGTTCCAATTCTCAGAAGATTGGAATTCTTTTGTTTTGTCCCTCAGACCGAGCTGCTAGAAAATTTATGATCATCATGATACATCTATTAGTCACTTAAAGCTTTTCACAAAAGAACATAGCTTTCAAAAGTTGTGATGCCTAACAGTTGGATGACAGAAAAGTAATATTATTGTCACCAAAAAAATCTCTAAACTTGCTGTTGAATGAAAGGAAGGAAACTTTGGGAATTTGAGGACTTTGGCAAAGTGAATTCAAATTTGCAGGAATTTTGCTCCACCATTGCTTCGAGAACGATATAGGCAAACGATGTAAACAATAAACAAATAATATAGGGGCACAGTGCAAATGTAGTGCTAACAATATTTTACTAATCATTTTATAGCTAATTCAAAATATCAAAGATATTCTAGCTGAATAGCTAATTTAAGGTATCAGGGTACCCCAAAATTGCTTAAAAGTATAGATTTTTACATTTTTACATTTTGCGATTAAATATATAATACTCTTCGATTTTCCCAAAAAAAAATTTCGATAGTGATTTTTAATAGCGAGTAATAAAAAAATACGGATTGTGCAAACAAAGGCACTTCTGCTCAGTCAGAAACATTTTTGCGTTTTTCTTGGAAGTGATTTTGCGTTCAGTTACCCATACATTTTGAGCCCGATGTCAAAGGGAATTTGACCGATTTAACTGAAATTTTAAGGAAGTCATCTTGGATAGTTGTTCTTCAAAAGTGTGTCTCCGATTTTTGATATTTTGTTTATTTCCAAAGTTATCGTGGATTTTGGCTTGCATACCGGTGATATAGCAGCGTCATAACTTTAAGAGCATATAAAAAAGCAACGGGGCAACTAATCAAAAATTGGAGACACTTTTGACAAGTGATGTCTTGTGATCTCGGAAATGTAATAAGCATTGGTTTCCGATCATTACCAGCTGTCATCGAACTGCGCGAAGATGCCACRGTGAAAATTTGAATAATTTGCTCTAACTTAAAAGGATAAATGTATTTTACAAAAAGGGAAAAAGGAATAGTTTCTACATTTATTCAGCTTTCAGAAAATGTATACTTTGTTGAGGTTTCGATTAAAAGGTTTTGTGCTATTAAGAGTTGAATGCACAATGGTCGCTAGGGGTACCCTGATACCTTAAGCTATTTACATTTGTATTCATAATGTTAAAATATATGTTCATGCTAGTTTAATAGTATACCATATTCCCAGATATGAATAGTTTGACTCAAAGTTCCCCCAAGTTCTACTGCCCAAAAGCCACATAGTTTAGAATGGTTGGTCCTTAATCCAATACATTCATATGTTAGCCTCATACAATCAACTGTAAAGACAAAACAAGAGAATAATATTTCACATCCGATTACCAGCTATTGGATCAAAGCAAGAAATCACTTATTTTATTTTATTTAGAGACCATGCATGCATTGGTGAGTGCAAAATTGGCATATTATATATATTATGTTATATAGGATCCCCAAACCATAATAGCAARCATTTCTCAATAAATGATTCGTCAATAAACACAAAAGATCATCAAACAAACAAACAGACAACTATACTTACTGAAATGTTTGGGCTTTATAACATAAGATCGCATTTCGTAGAGCTTGTCCGAATTGGTATGCTGAGAGCTGCATGAAAAAGCACGTAAACCTCGAAATATCTGATATGGCTGTAGACAGTTTCTCAACATTATTGCCATATTTAATAAATCAACTTAAAGAAAAGTGATACAATTTCAAAGCTAAAAACAAATGCTGCTTGGCTTGTTTTGATTTACTGCCTACTTCAACGTTCGATTTGAGCCCACGATGTGCACGCGCGCAAACCGCTGAGTTATAAGAGCTTAGGGCGGCAAGGCTCAATTTTTCGATTTAGGGACTGTATAAAGGACACAACATGTCACAGGTGCAGCCTCAAAACCATTATATGTGTTGAAATATGATGTATAAACTGAGTATCCTTTGTAATAAGAACAGTACAAAAAACAGTAACTAAAAACAGTACAAGTCATACAACTTTCTTTACTATACTGTGGTAAAGTTATGTAAGTATAAGACAACTGACTATGTCATGTCTTTTTTGTTTTACTTTGTAATAATTCGTCTATCTTTATGTTGATGATATTTAGTGCTATGTCAAGGATAAAAACAGAAGTTCTGAACAAGCTCCTTAGCTTCCCCAATAAAACATTTCGAAGAAAGAAGATCCCTCAGGCAGGATTTGTCAGTTTGAGATCAATATTATCAAGTTGTGGGATGCCATATATCTCAGGGCTGTATTCATTTTGCTAAAGGAATCCTCCTAAAGAATTTAATATATCACATGCCCTTTTCTTCCTAAAGTATGTTCTGTCGCCGAGGATTTGCGTTTATCAGCTTTTTTCTTATTTTCTCAGTTTTTTCTTCTGTGAAACTGATGAATTCTGTTTCGGYAGCATAGTACTTTTCCATAGCTTTATCCATGTTATCCAACAAATCTCTAATGTTTCTTTCAATACCAGTAGCAATGAAGTGCAGTGTTACTGAGTTGAATAGTTGAATTGATGATGATTGATGACAGCTCAATACAGCTTGGAGTTTTCGACTTCTTTTAGAAAACAAGCTGCGCATCATGATCACTTACCTTTGTTTTTATTTGTTCACACTTTTGTAGTATTTCAATGGCCTCATTTTTGCATCTCACAATATTTGCATTGTCGCGATGTATCATGATGTATGGGGNCACTTTTGTAGTATTTCAGTGGTCTCATTTTTGCATCTCACAATATTTGCATTGTCGTGTATCATGATGTATTGGGGGGGTGGGGGTGATAGTTATTTCATTTCAAAAGGGGGAGGGGTGAGAAGTTATTTTACGTTTAGCACAGGGGGGTTAGCTTCAATTTAAGCCCAATTTGGAGAATTTTAGAGCCCCCCCTCCCGATAATTATTGCACAGTCCCTTCGTAGTGTAAGTGTCAGATGAAGTTATGGGGGGGGGGGGTTGGTAGTTATTTCGTTTCAAAAAGGGGAGGGGAGAGAAGTTATTTTACGTTTAGCACAGGGGGGTTAGCTTCAATTTAAACCCAATTTGGAGAATTTTAGAGCCCCCCCTCCCGATAATTATTGCACAGTCCCTTCGTAGTGTAAGTGTCAGATGCAGAATGTACGGTGACCCACAGGGGACATGTAGCAAACCATAAAGTTGCTGCATTTTTATATAATTTGCTGCAAATAAAAAATAGTTGCGACTAATATTAAACAATTTGAAGCAAATAAAAAATTCTTGCTGCAAATAAAAAAAAGTTGCTGCAAATAAAAAAGTTGCTTATAAAAAATACTTGTACTTTACTGGGACCGAGGGAAATTTTTATTATCATACCAAGTGTCAAAGAGAACAAAACAAAAATGGAGAAATGAATAAGATTTTTAATGTTTTTAATACACAACTTGTGCGTAGCCGCAGTCAAAGCAAACCTACAACTTAATAAATATGCACTTCTTTACAAAGAAAAAAAGTGTCAAAAGTTGGYATATTTCCTCACAAAATTCTCCTAAAATCTTGACTTGCTTGTTTAGTCGATTTTTTTTGTCGATGCAGAATCCTTGTCTTCTAGTAACTTGGATATTTCCGCCTCTCCGCGGGAAGACTCCATGTTTAATCTGATGTTTCGTGAAAGAAAACGCGTGAATGAGTTTTGCAAACGCGCGCTGAAATGTGTTGCTTTCTGGTTTCCGGTTTTTATATTTTTTGAATCACGTGACTTCCGGTTTTGTTATTCCCGGTCCATAACATAATATTCCCCTCCCAGAATGGTCGCCAGGAAACAGTCGAATTTCTTCACGTTCACGTGACAAACTCTCGACCAATAGAAATTGAGGAAAATTGAACTTTGACAGTTGGTATATAATAAAAATTCATATTTCTAGCTCGGCTGTTTTGAATTACAGCAGTCAACGACGTAGACATAARTTTCTGTCATGTGATCTGAAAGCTCCGCCCTTGCATAATCACTTGGCAACATAGTGACATTGATTGACAGCTGGTATACAATCTAATTGATCGGACTGTAGACCGGCCGGAACCCTATAGCGGATGGCCGCAAGGTCTTTTGGGTAATTTCCTGAAGACCCTTGGGTACTATTGTGCAGTTTTTTCATTTTGCCTCGCAGGAATCAGGACGACAAAAAAAACAACAAATAATTGTGYACTTTTTGAAATAGTTTGCGATTGCGTGACTAAAAAGTTTTCCAAATAAATACACATAAACACYACTAAATACTACTAAATTACGCCAATTCTGTTGTTTTCTATTGTTTAATTAGCACTATTTCCTACTAAATAGTGCAAAGTGTTGCACACTTTTAGTGTTTGTACTCTAACAAGAATTTAGAATTCATTGGTTGACTCAGGATGTTATAGTTTTAGTAACCAGGAATGTTGTCCGGGCCAGTGGATTTGTAGATATTGAATGTAGAGTGCTTTTCGGACACTTCACACTGAGATGAAGAACTTGTCAGGACGTTTCTCCAACGAGATGGCCATGGACAACACGAGATGTGATTGAGTTCACTTGCCGCGTAAGAGAAGGGCTTGATTAATGTAATTTGCAAGTGCTGGTCCTCTTAATATTTCGTTTCCCTATACAACATTAATTAGTGACTCGATTTTAGACGTTCCAAAGAGCTGCTTTATTTCTTTTCAACAGTTATGTGAAAACATTTGAGAATTATCTAATTTCGTCTTGTAGTATGTTTTTTTTGGTCTTTTTACAAAGTTCGTTAACATTGTTGCATGTATGCTCGTTTCACCGCCCTGCTTATCGATGACTACACTAGTTGACATAGCGGCCACCGCTTCTCTAGAAGCCGAGTAACCACAAAAAACCCCAGCTTTTCCAAAACAAGATCTCCTTTTCTGCCTTTCAGTATCATAAATTACAAAGACAAACGAAATTGACATCTTTGTATTTCAAAATAGGATCAAAACAATTAGTTACCAAGATCATTTCGTAGCTACGCACACGATAAGAGAGCGTTTTCACGTGACGTCACAGCGACCATGTTGGTGTCCCAAAACAATACATTTTCTGGGGAAATGAACTCTGTTTTATACAAAAATTGTGCAAAAGGTTTCTATTCAGTTTTAGCACACCAATATGGTTGCCTTGTCACGTGAGTAAAAACGCTCTATATCCAGCTGATCTGATGAATAGTGCCGTAAAAATGACTCCACTGCAAAACTGAGGTGTACTAACTTTTTTTTATTTGGTGGCCTGGAAATCCATACTTTAAAGTGGAAAAGTCACAATTTAGACACCAGAGTTGACGTTTTTCCTCCAGTTTAAAATTTGTTTACAGACTTGCCATGTTACACACTAGTTAATTMCTTGTACCTTCGACACTTCTGGTTGCGTAAACCTGCGAATGATACTCTTCTACTAACATTAGAAAGCGTGTGCATCCCCTTGATAATAATGTCTACGCGTGATCGCACTACAAAATATATATCAATGAAAATGACAATTAAATAATGGATGGACGAAATCAAGAGAAAATGAACTAAAAGAAAAAATTCCAGTGCCTCATCATGAGCAATCACCTTTCATGCTATTTTTCGAATCATTTAATGCTAATTTTAGAATAACATTTCCATCGTTTTTATTTTCTGCACGCGCTCTACCCTGTTAGCTCTGGAAGTTTTCTCGGTATTTTTCGACTAAAAGTGGGCAAACAGCGTAGAGCGTTCGCAGTATTCGCGTGGTGAACATAAAAGATGGCAAATATGATTCTAAAAATAGCATCAAAATGTGCCTATGATGGTTTTAAGCATGAATACAAGAGATTCCTTTTCTTAGTTMATTTTCTCTTGATGAAATTGCATAACACTGTGTCTGAGAAGTGCTAAAAACTAAGCTTTTTATCTCCAAAGACTTTAGTACTATACTAGTTGTAGAGTGCAAACAACTAATCCGTGAAACATTAATTACTAAATAGTACAAAATAGTGCTAATTAGACAATAGAAAACAAAGGAATTTGCATAAACTTGTGCTATTTAGTATTACTAAAGTTTCACGGATTTACTGTGGTCACTCTAATATAGGCAACAAAATCATGGAAAGTTATCGTGCAACAATGTTGCATAGCAAGTTGTACAGTATTTTTGATTTAATTATCACTGAATGAGCAACAAATTTTCCTTTCCATAAGATGATAGAAAATAGAGATGGCTTTTACATCGACACTTTATTACCATCCACTTGTTATTCCTATTTTCAGCTTAAAGCACGGTATTGATGTGATCGTTAAAGTTCTATTAAAAGCACAACAAACATATTAGGATTTATCAYATCACTGTTCTTATGTTCATTTTCTGTCTTTTGTAGCCTAAATTAAATAATATCGCTTAAGATATAAGGCTTGGTCACCTCTTCTTGTCAGTTGGTCTACGAGTCTTTGGAGTTCCTGTGGATTTCAGAGTGGAAGGACTTTGGGAACTTTTCGTTGGGTGCATATAGCTAGGTACCGTGCTTCCCCCAAAAGTACTTGGCGTAGATTTTGATGATTCCTTTGAGCGAATAGGACTGTGGGATTCACGTGAACTCGGTGAAGGAGAAGGCATAGCATTACTTTTTGACCGAGTTTGAGATACCTAAAGAGAGAATAAAAGAAGTATAATAAAGCTACCTTTCTTATTCATACAACAACAACGACGACGACGACGACGACGACGACGACGACGACGACGACAAAAACAACAAAAACAAAAAACGAATCTGCACAGAAAAAAAACGACACAAGGAAAAAAATCAAACCGCCCTTTCACGAACTCTTTGATACTAGGTTGCACTTTTTATAGATTGGTTTCCCTGTCCTCTTTTCATATTCTTGCTATTCGAAGAAGATCGCTCGATTTAAATGCTCAATCTAACTTGTTAGATAAGCAATCGTCCTTATATTAACTTTGAAGTTCGACTTTGTTTAGTGCTTTGTTATTTCGCTGAGTTTCGAAGCAAATCCTGTAATGAATCGACTGTTTGAGCACGAGTAAGTTGAAGAGTTTACGAAGAAGAAAGACGACTTGGATTGCTTTGCTTGCTTCCCTATAGAGAATTGGGCTTTTGTTTTTTTAATTTCCATCAAGAGTGCTTTTTGCTTTTTGCCATGACTCTTCAACCTACGAGTCTAACTGAGAAGTATTAAATCGATGAGTAAACTAATCAGTAAAACTTACTTCAAATGAACATCACTTGTTGAAAGTCTACTTTAGACGTTTATTTTATTATTTTACTTGAACCTGCATCTTTTCTTAAATCTTTTGATATAAATACATACAAAAGTAAATCTATGTTCGTCTGCACGCATGCCGGCCCTATTTCAGGATCGCCGACTTTAAAATGTCGGCTCAACCTTTCAACGGCTTGTTTGCGTCTTCTATTTGTAAACGTTTATGCTTGAAAAAGGAAATRGTACCGTTCTTGTCAATTTGCTCGTTTCCGTTGGTATTTTTGTTTATCCTGTGATCCACGTGATCCAACCAACACCAGGAGCTTCTCCGCGACGACCGCCATATTGAATTGGTCGGCCGAGTGGACCGAGGTTGCAAATAGCCCAAGTTCCGAGATATATATACTTCATGTGCAAAGGTAGTAGTAGGGTAGGGACTGCACGGACCGGATTTTCGGTGAGGATTTACTAATTTTGGGTGAGGATGGCTGAGGATGGCTGAGGAGCCGGGTGAGGATTTAATTATGTTCTAATACGTCACGCATTACGTGTATCATATGCGGTGGATTTAATT